AATTACAGTTTTAATATTATCAACAATAATAATAATGGTGATGATGATGTTGGCGTATTATAATTATGTTATAAATTTATACACACACACACACAAACACACACACATGCACACACATACATACATATATATATATATATATATATATATATATATAATCAGCATATGAAATGACTAGGAATACAATGATATATAACACATTTGTATATTTGTAAGCGCCCTTAAAAATATTTTATATCATATATATATATATATATATATATATATATATATATATATATATATATATAATATATGTGCTGGTAAAAGATCATAATTAATGCAGTAATTTATTAAACCTACCGAATTTCTAGCGTTGGGTAGTTTTTTTATATTTCTCAACATTTTTAACCAAATTCATGTCGTCATTATTCTAAATAATGAAAGGTAAGAAATGTAATAAAAAACTATCCAACGAAATTCGGTAGATTTCATAAACTACTGCATTATTTATGGTCTTTTAGCGGCATTCACTAAAATGTCTATGACCAACGGAAGAAACTTAACAAGCGAACAAGAAAGTGAACAACGAATGCCCCATCTTTCTCTGGAGTTAATAGCGAAAAAAAATTTAGTCACTCAGTTGTCTGAAAATCTATGTGATTATGAAAATCAGTGGATACAAAGTAATATGGACGATAACATTAAAAAAGATTTTACCAAATGTTTGCAATCAATAAATCAATAAGCTTGTAAACCGCTATTTCCGCGATGTTTAACAGCGCTCTTAAATGAATTTTGCAAACAGATGGGTCTTGAGATCCGCTCTGAACTTCGTAAGTGATGGAGAAGTAGTCAGAGAAAGAGGTAGAGAGTTCCAGAGAAAAGGGCAAGAAAAAGCAAAAGCAGATTTAGAAGATTTAACCCGAGTTAAGAAAAAACGAGAACAAGAAGACAATCGTAAACCGTGGCGTTTAGGAACAATAAATATGTCTGATAAGTTTTTTGAAAAAATTTAGATTGAGACTTATACATAAATGTGCAAATTTTAAAAATTATTCGATACTTATGTTCTATATTTGGAAAAAATTGCCAAAAGCTACGAGCAGTCATTAAATTTGAGAATAATGGCGACAAGAGTTTGTTTAGAAATATTAAGAAATGTAATAAAAACTGCCCAACGCTAGAAATTCCTGAGTGTATAGGACCAATTTCGATTTTTCAGTAATCTTCAGTCAATTTCAATCACTTGTTGCAGTTTTATATAGAAAATTTGTATAACCCAAGCCTTGGTTCTTTTGACTAGCATTTTTTGTTATCAGTGACTGTGTTATATTTTACTGTGTTCCTTACTAATTGATATGGTTAATCTTATCAAATAATAAAGAAGATAGCATATGATTAACCTCATCAATTAGTTAAGAACACAGTACAATTAACACAGTCACTGATAACAATAAAAGCTAATCACAGGAACAAAGACATGGGTCATACAAGTCCCCTATATAAACCGCAACAAGTGCTGGAGATGATTGAAAAATCGAAATAGGTCCCATAGACTCGAGAATGAGTGGAAAACTGTATATTATTCCAACTTCATTAAAAATGAATAATGACGACAAGAACTTGGTTAGAACTATTGAGAAATGTAATAAAAAAAACTATCCAACGCTAAAAATTCGGTAGATTTAATAAATTACTGCATTAATTATGGCCTTTTATTAGCATAAATATGTATGTATATATGTATATATTTATATGTGTCTGTGTATATATGTATATATATATATATGTATATATATATAGTTTATGTATATGTACAATTCGTCAATCTAAAATAGAGTGAAGAAGAATAAAATTAGATAATATATATATAAATATATCAATGTAAATTATATATATGTATATAAATATATATATACCAAATGTAAATAAGCAAATACAAATATACATGTAAAGATACCCTGACGTGTACCGAGCTCTTGGCTTTTTTGGTATTATCAATAATAATAATAATAATACCAACAACAAAAACAACAATAAAAAATAATAATAACAATCATAATAATAATGATATTAATATTATTTTTATTAAAACCAAAAAGGGCCAAAAAACCCAAACGCATATTTATTTAAAGAGTATTTAACACGAGTTAAGAAGAAGTGAGACGAGAAGACGGCTGTAAACCGGGGCGTTTAGGTTCAATTAATATATCCAATAACTACTCTGGAAATAATTTAGATTGAGACTTGTACATTAATGATTATACTATATTTTATAGGTAGCCAGTGAAAGAGAACAAGATATGGAGATATATGAGAAAAGAAAGGGGCACGAGCAACTAGACGAGCAGCAGAGTTAAAAGCTTTACTTAGAGGATAGAGTGTAGAGTCAGGAAGACCATAGTATAGCGAGTTACAATAAACAATCCTAGATAAGACTAACGAAGTAACATAAAGGAGAAGAGTAGGATCGTCAAGAAAAGGCAAAAGTTTTTTTTATTCTACGCTGGTGAAAGTTAAGAACTTCTAGCAACACTATTAATCTGAGAAGAAAGAGACATGCTAGAATCAAATGCTGTAAATATATCCACTTTAAAAACATTGTTAATATGATGATTAATAACAATAATAATAATAAAAATACTAATGATAACAATAAATAATAATAACATTACAATTATTGTAATAAAATTAAAAATGAATTGCTCAGTGGCAAAATATTTCAGACGATGGAGGGTGATAATGGTTAAATTATCATTTTCTATATCATTATTATTATAATTATAATAATAATAATAATTATTATTATTATTATGTCATTATTATTGTTATTATTATTATTATGTCATTATTATTGTTGTTGTTGTTGTTGTTTTTGTACGATTATGGATAGAAAACCCCCAATAGAAATGATAAAAAAAAATAAAATAAAAAGATGATATAATAGTAATGAAAAAGCCATTCCGTCATTTTCAAAAAGCAAAACAAAAACCAAGAAATTTCTAGAAATTAATCAAATGTAAACTAAAAGTGAACTCAGATTTTAAATGTTTATATATATATATATATATTATATATATATAAATACGTACAGTTCCACAGGTGGTGGCGATAATAGAAATTTATGAACGTGTCTAAATTTTGAGAACAAAACATACAAACACAGTCACAAATAAATAGACACACAAACATGCATAGCGTATACACAAACATACAAACATTGAAAACATATACAATCATATATATATACAATATTCTATAAATTCTACCGAATATTTGGCGTTAATATGTTTGTAGTTCGTATTTTCGAGTTTTCTCACTAAAGTTTTTTGGTGAACGTTTAGTTTATTAAAATTCAAAATAAACTTAAATAAAATATGCGTGTATTGGTATTTGTTTGTTTGTATTATGTTTGTGTGTGTGTGTATGTGTGTATGTTATTACTTAAAGTTACTACTACTTATTCTTATTATTATATATATATATAAACGCAGGCATACTTAAAAATTATACAAGAACTTTCTTTAAGTAATAACATACACACATACACACACACAAACATAATACAAACTAACAAATACCAATACACGCATATACACATGCATAGATAAACATTCTCATAAACATAAACAAATAAATAAACTATAGGTTTGTATGTATGTATGTATGTACTTAGCAAAAATACATACACAAACACATAAAAACTACATACATTCTCACGTTCATGAATACACAAACAAATTATACAAAGTTGCCCTGTAGACCTAACCTAACCTAACCGCCGACCAATTAAAACAAATTACGCGCAAAACAATCGTTCCTATTGGTCAGAATTCAAAACATACATACCAATACAAACATACAAGAATGTATACATAACGAAAAAAAAATCAAAAAATGCAAAAAAATTCGGTTAAAAATGGGAAAAATAATAAAAAAAGATCGTCTATCTCTGTTATTGATCAGAACTCAGAACGCACGGATAACAAAAAAATATAATGGTGTATAAGTACCCTCAAACGTTTTGGATGAAAATCGAAAAAAAAATAAAAATGTAAAAAAAAAATACTTTGATCTTATTCGTCCGATGCCTCACCTTCGTCGACTGAATTTTCCTCCCTACTACTACTTGCTTCGATGCAACCTCCTCCTCCCCCTGCGGTCGCCCCGCTTCCAGGGGTCACTGGGGTCGACGATACCCCACTTATCTGGTTCTCCTTCACTCTTTTTTTCTGTTTCATGCGACGGTTTTGAAACCAGATTTTAACCTGGATAAGTGTTTGTGTGTGTGTATGTGTGTGTGTGTGTGTGTGTGTGTGTGTGTGTGTGTGTGTGTGTGTGTGTGTGTGGTGTGTGTTGGTTTTTAGTTATAATTCATAACCAATCAGTTGATATATATGAAAAACTTCCAACTAGTTTTTCAAATAAAAACCTCATTTTGGCGTTCTGATACAAACCACGCCAAATTTAGATCCCTAGTTTTTTATGTTAAGCTTTTAAAGACAGTACCGCTTTCATTTTAAATTAATTTTAATTAACTAAATTAATTTTTTATGATCGCGCCTAACAAATAGAATGTGGGAGCAAAAATAGTTTTATTTTTCATATTTTATCTAATTGTTAACTTTGTTTAAATCATGATTAAAGTTTGGAACGTAATATCTTCTCATGCGGGTACATGAAATTAAGTCTTCTTGAAATGGGTCCTGAAAAAAATAACCACTTGCCAGTTGCGGAGCTAGAGAAGGAGCGAGTCGGAGCAATATTTTTATTAAAAGTCTGTAAAATTCAGTTTTTTTGTCATAAATTGAGGTACAGAGCAAAAAATCGATCAGACAAATATCATTATGTAGTACGCACTATTGTTCGATTTTTTTTATATGGCTGATGTAGGGAATTGAACCTGTAGTTTTTTTTAATGTATTTACGTAGTACTTAACTTGTTGAGCATGAAATTGTACAATTTGGTCACGAAAATCTCGACATTTTTGTTATATAACATCAGGGACTGACCGAATAGATTTTTACTAGATAGATTCATTTAGAAAGGCCCGACCGAATAGATTTTTACTAGATTAATTTAGAAAAACCCGCACTGTTTTGAGCAGCATTTTTATTAAAAGTCAGAAAAATTCAGCTTTTGGTTACCAATGGACAAAGTGATAAACAATAAAAATTAGTCGCAAGCCTAGTTTTAGACACTCTTGTACGAATTTGGTTAGTCTCTTGGCCTCCCGTAAAAAACCAAAATTTAAACAAAATTGTCTAAATCCGGCCCTGCCATGCATTTTATAATTATTAGTTTTATCAAATCTATTTTATTTTACAAATGTGCTGAACAAGGTCAGAGATGCAATCATTTCGTGAAGCGTTAGTAATTTACGGTGACTAGATCACAGTCCAAGAACTCTAAGTGACTCTATCGATACAATGGTTAACATCTGCACTCTGACATGATACATCATCGACTTCACTACTCCAATCGTCACTCAAGTCATCAGAAAATAATTCCACATCTGGAGCAAAACTGAAAGACGAACTTTCTGTCCCGTCATTACTGTTAAAATGTTTTCACGTCTTTTTAAAATCCAATAACTCAACTGCAAAGTGCAAAGCTGCAACTTCTTCGGATTCGCAGCCACACCGGCCACCTGTCGTTTTTATCTCATTAGTATTATGCGACGACTGTTTAAAAGCATTTTGGGTGTGAATTGCGATAGCTTTTTATGAATATTAAATTTCTTTGTCTAAATCTGGTATTCAGTCATTCTGGTATTCAGCCTAAACAGCTGCAAAACCTTCATTCCACATCTCATCAATCCCAACTAAACATTCATCACTGCATTGCTCAATAGTCAGCTTCTTCTTAGTAAAAATTGAATGAAAATAATTTGAATTCATAAAAAGATTTCTAATCCCACGGCATTATTTCACAAAGTTTTATGAAAATTGAACTAAAATGAGTTTTAAACGGTTAAAATTTAGAAAAAAATTAAAGATAACTCGATGGCGATGCTGCTATGGAATTTGAACAGATGAAATATACATTTATTATTTAATGTTTGACAATGGCCGCCGCACAGAAATCATTGATGACGTCTTAAACTAGATTTTTTTTCTTTCTTTCGTCATTCACATAACTATAAATTAACATATTCCTATGATTAATTATAAATTAACATAATTATAAATTAACATATTCACATAATTAATTATAAATCAACATATCAACATAATTATAAATTAACATATTAACATAACTAATAATAAATTAACATATTAACATAATTATAATTTAACATATTCACATAATTAATAATAAATTAACATATCAGCCTGACTATAAATTAACATATCCAATCATTTTGCCAACCTGTGTCTCATTAAGACCAAGAGCGGCTGCAATTTCGATTCTCCTGGCTCTGGTCAAATACTTGTTAAAGTGGAACTCTTTCTCCAGTTCGGTCAGCTGCTTGTTAGTGAAGTTGGTGCGACCCAGGTTCGACTGCAACTGTTGCTGATGTTGTTGCTGGTGGTGGTGAAGATGGTGGTGGTGGTGTACCCCGAGCAAGCCCGGATGCGTGGGTGAGAGGGGGTGGTGAGTGTGGGGGTGGGGGTGATGATTTAGGGGGTGAGGTTGTAAAATACCCGGATGGTGAAAATTTATGAATGGGTTTTGTTGTTGCTGTTGTTGTTGGTGGAGATGGTGCTGCTGCTGTTGTTGCAAGAGATTGGAGTTGTTGGCAACATTGTTGCCGCCGCTTAAATGTTGAAGTTGTTGCTGTTGCAGATGTTGTTGTTGTTGTTGTTGCAGATGGTGATGTTGTTGTTGCTGGTGATGTTGCTGGTGGTGGTGGAGTTGTTGTGGGTGGTGATGAAATACTGTCCCGGTCAGGTAGGCTGAGGTGTAGTCATTTGGAGGTGGCTTTACTGTGGTGAGGAAAAGTGTTTTTGTCGTCTTCGTCATCAACGTCATCAGCTTCACCATCATCATCTTCATCATCATCTTCATCATCATTTTCATCATCTTCTTCATCATCAACATCATCATATTATCATCTTCATCATCATCTTCACCATAAACACCATCATACTATCATCTTCATCATCATCTTCATCATCAACACTATCATATTATCATCTTCATCATTATCTTCATCATCAACACCATCATATTATTATCTTCATCATCTTCATCATCAACACCATCATATTATTATCTTCATCATCATCTTCATCATCAACACCATCATATTATCATATTCATTCATCATCTTCTTCACCATCATCATCATCATCATATTATCATCTTCAACATCATCTTCTTCCTACGTACCTGAATATACACATATATCAACACCAAGATACATCCACACATACATACACGCCAACAAACAAACAAACAAACAAACAAACAAACAAACAAACAAGCTAACTAACTAACTAACTAACTAACTAACTAACTAACAAACTAACTAACTAACAGACAAACAAACAAACAAACAAACAAACAAACATGACAAACCAGCAAACTACCCAAACGCCTCATCTATACAAATCATTTCCTTAATTTAAAATCAAAGATAAAACAAAAGAAATAGAGGCGAGAGAAGAGAAAGGCCTTTATTACAAAACGCTGAACTGCGATACATTTCAATTTAGTGATCATTCCTCAGATGTCAGGGACAATAATTAATCGACTGCTAATTTCCGTGTTTTGTCCGGATGATCCGTGTAATTAAATAGGATCTTTAGGCGA